AGCAGAAACATTAACACTCGCAAAAAAGGTAGTGAATAAGATTCGCGTGACTCAGAGGGCTATGGAGCGCCAGATGTTGAGTGTCTTACTTAAAGACTGAATCCCAAACGAAGAAATACGTCGTAGAACAAAAATAACAGACGCCATAAAAAAATCGCGTTGCTGAAATGGAATTGGACAGGACACGTCGCCAGATTATTAGAAAACCGAAGGACAAAACGTATTGTCGAGTGAAGACCAAGACAAGAAGCGCGACGGAGCAGAGGACGTCCGCCAACTAAAATAGATGGACTGACGACCTGATGCGTGTTAGCAATACTTGGATGCAAGCCGCACAATACACACAGATAGAAAGAGCTGAGGGAGACCTATGTCCAGCAGTGGACGCATAGAGGTTGATAATGATGATGATTTATTTTATAGACCATTTGCAGCACATTAGTCACAATAATTATAAAATTATCAAAGGAGCCATGATTAAATTTGTCGCCATGTTGTAATATATCTACGTTTATGAATGCTCGTGAATCTTCAAGTAGATTTTCGAATATTAGCTGGTTTTAAGGGATTTATGGGAATTCTAAGCAGTCATTACGACGACGTATAATCCTATAAATATATATAATTCTACAAATCTCATTGATGAAATGCAAGGAAATTGAGAGACAAAAAATATATCGACTAAGCCTACTATAAACTGAGTATTAAACGTGTGCTGTATTTATAGTAAGTCATTTTTAATAGTTATTTAACCAACAACTGTATTAATAAGGACGATTAACAATTGAGATATTTTAACGCGTGAGCGGAGCGAGCGTCTCAAGTGTTTTTGATTTCTTTGGTACATAACCTGTTCTTTTTTGTTGATAAACATAATTAACTTATTATATTTAGATATATCAATGTTTGATTTTAAACTTAAGGTTGATTTTAGCATCGAATATTTGGGCCACAAACTTGCTCTTAGTCCTTTTTCGGCAATGTTTGAAAAATATGTCAACAATACACATTCTGAATATCGTATTATTTTTCTCTCGTCACACCATGCAATAAATTCAGAGAATGTTTTTTCGTACAACACTCTGCTTTTTTAGGCAGTAAACTTAAAGATATTTCATTTGCAGTTTATGCCACTTCTGATGGCGTTAAATTAAACTCATCGTAAATATCCATCTTTTGATTTTTCAAATACACAGAATTTTAAACAATAAAGTAAATAATGACATACAATGACAGATAGTACTAACAGCGGCTACTTCATTTTAAATTTTTTAGTGGGAATATAAATAGGTATATGTTTGGTTGGCTACACCACAGGTCACTGCAAATCACAAAGCGTTTAATTAATTTATGCAAGCAATGTATCGATGGCTTAATGCTAATACTCCGTATCTGCAAAATTTTGAAATTTCATTTTTTTTGTCCAAAGATGTCCCCAGCAGTGTCTTCCATCTCTCTGCAAATTCCCAGTATCGTAAACGCATTAGAACGCGCCAAATTATTATTCTTGTAATAACCGATATCTTAGACACTACGCATCCACTGCTGATACCCTGTATCATTCATTTCGTACATTGCTTTAATGGTCGAATTTGAAGCTGCATAAAGATGTCATCGTTATTACAGGAAATACGAGAAAAATCGGTAAGTAACTGATTTTTTATTAATAAATATTGTGTGAACTTATCATTTAAACTTTCAAAATGCTTCTATTTGATTAAATTAGTAAAAAAACATTGAATATTTACCAAAGCTAACGATACGGGGTATTGTAAATATGGAAAGAAAATAAATGTATACAAATAAACTCGAGATACGGGATATTGTATGTTCAGTATTCATGAATTACAATGATGGATTATTATTAATACTTTATGAAAAATTAAATGAATGGTTCTGGTTCTAAAAATAATTGTTGTCCTAAAAATATTATTGACCCTTTAACATGATAGTTCCTTGTTTTAGTTTCTCATATGAATATTAAACTACATTATCCCGTAATTCCCGTAGAGAAACCTTTTTTATTTTATTTTTCATTTTCATGTGTATTTGCTACAAGAAATAGCTGACCTAAATTTCTACAATTAAACAAAACAAAAATGACTTTCAGTGTTATGACAAATATTTCTTTTTTACATACAAATAAGTTAAGTCGAACTATGAAAATGATTGCTTATTGCACTGAAAAATCAAGTGTAGCTGCAGACAATCAGTCTTTAACTAGTACTGAAGAACCGGATATGAGCCAAGTGATACAAATTCAGAATCAAGTAGATCAGATGGCTGATGAAATAACAAATAATAATTCAGAGGACCTAGCTTCCTGTGCCACTTCTATTGACGATAAGAATGCTAAACATAATCAAGATCAAATAGACCAGACCCTCAATGATATAGAGAGCTATATTCCGGACGATTTGGCTTCCACTTATATTCAAAATGACGATCAGCTCCTAGTATTATGCAACGATGTACTCGAGAACCTAGAACAATCTGTTCCTATTACTGATCTCCAGCCTGCTAAAGATGTTCTAATAGAGTTTGTTGACAATTATTCCGCTGAAGAAGAAAGTTCTAGGAGGAGAAGGAGAAAAGCACTTTCGTCAGAATCACAGATCACCTACCTCCTTAGTTATTAGTGGTCTGTGGTCAGAATGGCCGAGAAATAAAATTAAGAAATTAAGATTAACTGGTAAAGCGTATAAAGGTTATCAAAGGAATAGAAATGGCGTTATTACACAAGGGGTACCCAGACCTGAAAGAAAAATAACCAACGCATGCAAATCTAATGCACGTTTAAAGTCAAAGAAACGCTTCTGCCAAACGTTTTCAGAAGAAGACAGATCTTCGATTTTTGAAAAATTCTGGGTGAATTTGGATTCATGGGAGGAGAAAAAGGTCTACGTTACCGGGAATGTGGAATATGTGGCAAAAATAAGACAGTCCACTGAAGGTCCTTCCCGTAGGAAGGGAACTTATTTTTACTACCTAAGATCAAAAGAGAATGACAGAAAAAGGGTATGCAAAAAAATGTTTTTAGGAACTTTAGGAATGAAGGAAGATATGGTTCACAATTGGGTGGCAACACAGAACATGGACTGAGAATTGATAACCCAGAAAGAGTTACGTCTGCAAAATCAAGATCTGATCATGCCTCAAAAACTGATAAGAGAAAGTGGTTGAGAAATTGGCTAGAATCGTTGCCAAAACTGAGCTCGCATTACTGTAGAAAAGATACCCAAAAGCTATATCTTGAACAAATTTTTTCTACTAAAATGGATCTTTTCCGGACTTATGAAAATTATTGTAAAGATCACAATAAGCAGAAATATGTCTTAAGCTTTCTAATATTTGATGACATATTTAGGCAAATGAACCTATCTTTATACAAGCCAAAAAAAGACAGATGTGACGTATGCTGCTCTTTCGAAAACAATAGCATAAATGAAGCAGACTACAAGAAGCATTTGGAAAAAAAGGATAGGGCCAGAAAAGAAAAGGAAGAAGACAAGAAGAAAGCGTTGAAGAGAGAAAAGTACACTCTGGTTATGGATGTTCAAGCCGTTAAAATATGCGCCGTTATAAACGCAAGTGCAATTTACTATAAAATGAAATTGAACTGTCATAATTTTACAGTATACAACTTAGCAACTCATCAAAGTACTTGCTACTGGTGGAACGAAACCGAATCTGACTTAACAGCATCAACTTTTGCATCATTTTTATTGCATTGCATTGAAGAAAAGTGCACAGATCCAAAACTGCCAATTACCATTTATTCGGATGGATGCTGTTATCAGAACAGAAATGTGGTAATGGCCAATGCTTTGTTTCACTACAGCTTGAAAAATAATGTGCTCATAGATCAAAAGTTTCTAGAACGCGGCCATACGCAGATGGAATGCGATGCAATCCATGCTATGATCGAAAAAAAAAAATTAAAAAATCGGCATATTCATCTGCCAAGTGACTATGTTAATATTTCACGAGAGGCCAGGCGTAAGCCATTTCCAATAGATAATTATTACTTGACATATGAATTTTTTAAAGACTACTCTCAGCCATCTACATGGAGCTACAATTCTATCAGTCCAGGGAAAAAGCCAAGTGAGCCAACAGTTACCGATCTTAGACAATTACACTACAATCCGGAAAAGAAAAAGATATTTTATAAAATTAATTTTGATGATGATCTTCAAGCTTTACCCATAAGACAAATAAAATACCCTGAAATTTTCAACTACCCTCTATTACATAAGGAAAGATTAAAAATTTCATTCAAAAAGTGGACTCACAAGAACTGACATCTCTTTTGCCTGCGGATTGCAGATATTTTTATGATAACTTACCTCATTTTTCAAAGTAACACTGTATTAAGAGTTGTATTCTTCTTTAATGAATAAAAACTTACCTCATTTTTCAAAATAACATTGTATGAAGAGTTATACTTTTTTTCTTTAATGAATAAACATTTACGTTGATACAATATTGTAATTTATTTTTCCAAGCTATCAAAAATTTTGATCAATAATATCCCGTAACTTCATTTCAGTTTTTATATTTTTTTCAATTAATAACCCGTATCTGATATAAAAGTTGATCACAAATTAATTTAAACTAAAACCTATGTTTGTTTCATTTATTAACTGTTTATAAAGAATAACCAACAATAAAATGTTGATTCCATGTAATGTTTTCAGTGTTTAAAGGTTTTTTTTTGTTTCTGTAAAATTTTTCTGTAAAATTTCACTTTTTGCATATACGGGGTATTAGCAATTAAGCCATCGGTATGTTGTGTTGCCTATAATAAAATCATTCATTAATAGGGGTCAGTAATCAATGATTTTGAGGGTGTTAAAATTTATCATAAATGGACGGTCGACGGAAAAGTAAATTAAAATCAAATGTTTTAATATGGTAACCGTATTTTCTAGTGTGATGAGTAAATAACTGTAATATAAGGACAAAACAAGGAAGGAATGTAAGCAAACTACATAAAAACAATAAAATCGGAATAATTTATATTTGATCATTGTATAATTTTTAATTGCAAATGAAACCAATGAGTGCGGCAGCGAATTCAATATATTTTCTCTTTTCAATAATTTATGGGCCACCTATAAGGTGTATTAAATAACTGCGTATAAAACTACAAGTTGTAAACCTAGTAAAACTTGTAAAATTAAAATAAATATCATACATATTTCTAAATAAAATGCGAGATGAACTGCAAATTTATAAAATTTACAACTTTTTTTTAATATATTAGGTAGCTAATTACAATGCTTGGCTAAAATAAACGATAAAAATAGACTCTTATAGATTAAAATTTATATACAAATATAATAGACTTCATAAAATAAAATAATAAAACTTATGAAAGAAAATGTTATAACCTCTTCAAGGCGTTTGACCCTAATGAGGAGGACTTCATTTTTCGAGTTGGTTGTACGGACATTGGAGCTACCGGTTGAGATTCATTGGAATTTTCAGCATTGCCTAATTCCTGAAACATTATATTACTATTAGCAATAATAATTTACAATATTAGTATTGAACTACATCAAATAATAACAGACATTAACATAACATACAACAAACATAAAATATGGCTAGTAAAGGCCCTACTTGAGTGGTATTGGTTAAGTGAAACTGTAGCTGGTGTTTGTCTAAATAGTGTATAAAGTTATCTAGCTCCTTCTTCTTAACGTGACCCATCCCTAAGGATATTTTCGGTCATCATGGCCCATTTGACTCTATCTGCAGCCGTTCTGAAAAGTTCCATTGACGTTTTCCCACTCAAGTGTCTCAAATTCTTCAACCAGGACGTGCGTCTTCACCCCGGTCCTCTTTTGCGTGGATGAATCTTGCTTTGCGTTTTTGATGAATCTTTCCCGTATAATAAATGTCGTTAAATAATTCTATTACTGTACCCACAAGATTTTTTGTTAATATTAAGATTTCTGTAAGCATCTCATCTGGTCCCATAGCTTTCTCATTGTTTATATGTTTTAGCGCTTTCCCAATTTCGCCTTTGGTGATTTTTGGCCCATTTCTTCCTCTTGGTTCAATGACCTCAATTTTTCGTCGTTTTTGAATAGCTTTTTTATGTATTCTTCCCATCTGTTTATTTTATTTGTGCATTCCGACATTATCTTGTAATTTTAATCCATGATAGTTCCGACATTCTGGTGTATGTTGAAACTGTCATGTTGTTTATCTAGCCTTTCTATTTCTATTTCTAACTCTACATATACAGGCATATTAAGTTATTTTTTATAGTTTATATTTTAGTGTTCATACTTGTGGACATATTTTCTTTCATTTAAAATATAATTTTATAAGAATATGTCTACATGTATACAATGTCTGTTATGTTTGAGGAATACATAATTCGTAACAAAGAGTACCGTCAGTGCAAGTTAGATTCTCGAGAGTTTTTCCTATTTCATTGTATATTCTCTTAGTTGTATATTATGGGCAGTATAGATTATTAAGTTAAATTTTTGACTCTTGGACAAATAAAAGGATCAATACTATGTTTCAAGTGTGCCTTGTTTCATCTACACTCGAGTGCAAAACAATCGACTGAAAAGCGATATTTAAGATTACACCTTCTGTTTAAAGAAGTATGAAAATATAAGATGTCATGTGCAAACAATAACTTTAATAGTGAACTTACAAAAACTGCTATTGCCTTATTTTTAAGACGCATAATAAAAACAATATGTAATACGTTTCCTAAATATTCATTGGAACAAACACAAGAAAGACATTATGAACAAAGAAATCATCAATTACAAAATGAATTTCTTTATTTTTAAGTATTGGATATTACCCCCCCCCCCTACTCCTAATAAGACTTTCCAATCGATTTCGCACGGATCGGATGACTTTTCTAATAAATTTTTGAGGAATTGCTTCCCATTCTTCATTAAGCGCAGATCTCAATTCCATTGAGCTCCGGCATGATTTCTGTCCCGTCTGTGACTCTTCGTTTAAGCTCATCCCAAATATGCTATATTGGATTTATGTCCGGACTCAACGCAGGCCAATTTATTGTAGGTATATCCATCTCAGTCAGATAGGTGCCTCGTGCGGTATGGCATCGTGTATTAAAATAAAGGCACCACCAATAAATCCCACGTATGGAATCACATATTTCTCCAATATGTCTCTGATGTAACGATCCGCCTCGCGCCGTTAAACCTCATTTACGTCCTCCACCAAAAAACCAATTCGGTTTTTTCATCCATGGAAATGCCTACCAAAATATACAAGAACCGTCTCCATATGACACAATTTCTCGTATACAAAATGATCGCTCTCCTGGCCTTCTATAGACCCGACCTATCTTGTCGTTGCCATGTAGGCAGATCCCACTTTCGTCGGAGAATAATACCTGACTCTATTGATAGCCGTTCCAATTTTGATGTTCGCGAGCAATTCTAATCGTCTTTGCTTCTGATTGCAGTTATCTTGGGACCCGTAATGACCTTTTGAGGACCTTTTTGGTGTCAGGTTGGCTGCTTTCAGTTTTCTTCTGATTGTCCAAACGCTTGTAACCATATCTCGGACCTCTCTAAGCTCTTCTTTGAGATTAGAACTATTTCGATACAAGAAATCAATTATCTCTCTCCGCTGTTAATCGTTTACGGTCTGATCCTTGTCGGCGGACATAATCACTAGTATCTTGGTACCAACGAGATGCACGATTTGCCTAGGCCCTCTGGCTGAGGCCTTCTTTCAATAATGCTACTGCTTGAGCTGCTTTGACGGATGTGGTATATATTTGTAATGCAGTTGCGGTACTTAAGTGACTGATGTATCAGTAGGTTGCTTTGAAAATTGATGAGTACGATGTTAACCGAACGCGTTAAGTCGGTGCGTGTTGATTTCAGTGAGTTCAATTCTGACCTTTCTACGTGTTGCACCAAAAAACAAAATTTTTTTAAAACCCAATAATGAAGTTAATGACTGTGGACTGTGTGAATAATGTGTGGATGCACCCGATGTGTTACGCATTCTCCATCGCGTCTAGGCATGCTTCTGATCAGGTGGTCAATGTCCTCTTGTGGTAGGGGGACGTTGCAAATTGAGCAATCTCCTACCTATCATATCCCACACGTGCTCAATTGGGGATAAGTCTGGAGATATTGGTGGCCATGCTAACAATGTGACAGCATTATGTTGAAAGAAGTCTATTGTGACTCTTGCAACATGTGGTCGGGCATTATCTTGTTGAAAAGTTGGATTTGCCAGGGTGTCAAGATACGGTAAAAGGTGGGGTTCTAGAACTTCTTGGATATAACGCTGCGCGTTCATGTTGCCTCTGATGAAGATTAAAGGTGACCTGGAACCATAAGCTATAGCACCCCAAACCATAACTCCAATAGTGTGAGGGACATGTCTTTCAAAAAAAAACTGTGGATTCCTCCTTTCACCACGTCGCCTTCTAACCCTCGCTCGACCATCGAGCATGCCTAAACAAAATCGAGACTCGTCACTAAAGACAATACTGTTCCATTCCTGATTCCAGAATGACCGTTCTCTGCACCACTGAAGGCGATTACGGCGATGTTCTGGAGTTAAAGGGAGGACCCAGTGTGGTCGGTATGCAAACAGGCCAAAACTTCTCATTCGTCGGTAAACATTTCGCATGCCAATAGGTCTTTCGTGTTCTGCAAACCATTTATTTGCAATACAGCTAGTAGTGGAGAAACGGTCTCTTAAGGCCAATAATCTTAGGCGGCGATCTTCACGGTCTGTTGTTCTACGGTGGCGTCCAGTGCCTCTTGCTCTTTGCGTACGACCTTCTTGAAGCCATGCCTGACAACACCTAACCACGGTGTCTACACTTCTTTACACTCTAACTGCAACTCCCCGAAAAGAAAGTCCAGCTTCCCGAAGTCCCATTATACGGCCTCTATCAAACTCACCAAGTTGACGAAATCGTAAAGGTCTCCGTACTCTAGGCATCGTAACCAATCGTAAAGAATGTCAAGAACCACAATCCGCCAAATTTGGATCTTTACTGCGGCTGAAATATACATTTTTAGATTGTTAGTGAATTTAAAAACAAAAAGTATAAAAACCGGAATCTCCAACTGATAAGGCTAAAAACTTAATCACTTGCTTTTTTCAGTAAGATAAATAAATTACATCAAATTTTATTGAAATAAAATCATTTAAACTGGGTGTTCGGATTTCTATGACACTTAATATATTATTTAATTTACACTTTTTAGATTGAAACAGGAGACGTACTTTTGCAAAATAATTTTGAGTCGATTATTTTGCACTCAAGTGTAGTTTTGCTCTCTGCACTTTAAACAATGAGCGTCGTAAGTATTTTACAAAATTATAGCTAAGAAAGGAAGATTAATAAATTTAAAAACAGATTTATACCTTTGACAATTTTATTGCTAAAAGGATTTAAAATAAGTAGAATATATTATAAAACAACCATACAGGACTATGAGTATATGTACAAAGTCGTTTATTAATAATTAAAACAACCCCAAATACCTTACGTATGTTATCATACATTGTATGTTATAATAAATTGTAAACGCCACCAAAGTAAATCAGCCTTAGAATAAGTTGTGCAGAAAGGAGCATTGTGCAGAATAGTCAGGTTTAATAAATTAAAGATTGATGCTAAAGTTTTTTTAATCAAAAATAGGTATATAAGGATAGTACAATTAAAATTAACAATAATAATTAAATATCTGCGTAGTATAGGTAATGAATTTTGACAGAACAAGAAATTAAAGCGAGAATCGCTCAAGCTAGGGATAGCTTCTTTAAGATGCGCGTTCTATTCTGCGATACACATATAAATATTAAATTGAGATTAAAACTTGTAAAATGTTTTATCTGGTCTGTTCTTCTCTACGGAGTCGAAACGTGGACTTTAAAAATAAAGAGCCTGAATAGAATCGAGGCATTTGAAATGTGGGTGTACCGTAGAATTTTAAAAATTCCTTGGACAGCACGAAAAACAAACGAAGAAGTACTAGCTAGACTCAATTTAGAAAAAGATCTATTGAGAACAGTCAAAAGAAGAAAAACCAGTTATTTAGGGCATTTGTTGCGCAACGAGAAATACTACATCCCTCAGTTGATAATAAAAGGCAAAATAGAAGGAAAGCGAGGAATTGGAAGAAAAAAAAAATTGTCCTGGTTACGCAATATCAGAAACTGGACAGGACTTGGATTTGAGGAACTCTTAAGAGCAGCTAAAGATAGACAAACGTTTGCCACCATAACCGCTAACCTCCATTGATGGAGACGGCACTTGAAGAAGAAGAAGAGTATAAGTAAGAAAAAGAAACCACTTTATCCGTTATCCAAATATTTCGTCTGCTGTTAACAAATTCAACTTCTAGTATTTCAAGGTTCTGACTAATCTGGTGATAGTGACAAAGACGATATTGAGATTCCAGCGAGTTCCAACAAATGAATTCTGACATGAACATCATGAAAACAACATACGCGGGAGGA